CTCTCTCTCTCTCTCTCTCTCTCTCTCTCTCTCTCTCTCTCTCTCTCTCTCTCTCTCTCTCTCTCTCTCTCTCACGCCCCCCCCCCCTCTCTCTCTCTCTCTCCGTCAATCAGTTCATCGATGTAATGATGAAGCACTCAATCAATCAAAGCACCGATGCCCGCCAAGCACAACATGGGAAGAAACAAAGAGAGAGAGAGAGAGAGAGAGAGAGAGAGAGAGAGAGACATGAAAGAAAAATGAGACGCCATCAGCGAGTGTTGCTGTATGCCGTGGCGAAGAAACACAGAGAGAGAGAGAGAGAGAAAGAGAGAGAAAGAGAGAGCAGACGACAAGCACCGATGCCCACCAAGCACACCATGGGAAGAAACAAAGAGAGAGAGAGAGAAAGAGAGACATGAAAGAAAAATGAGACGCCATCAGCGAGTGTTGCTGTGCGCCACGTCCACTTGTTTTATAAAAGGTAAAAAAGCACGTGCGTGCACGAGAGAGAGAGAGAGGGAGAGAGAGAGAGAGAGAGAGGTCCATCGAGATGGTTTAAATGCGCACGAGCAAGATGTGGCGCGGAGAGAGAGAGAGAGAGAGAGAGAGAGAGAGAGAGAGAGAGAGAGAGAGAGACCCACACGAGCAAGTGCAGTACCTGCTTCAATCAGTTCTGTGGTTTCATCGAGACGGTTAAAAATTGGGAAAAGAAAAACAAGTCTGCGCAAGATGTGGGAGAGACTAGAGAGAGAGCGAGAGGGAAAGAGAGAGACCCCAGTCTAACTAACTATGTGCCAGCCGCCCCCCCCCCCAAACGATCAAGTGTATTATCTGATGCATGGTCCAAAAAAAAAGCGGGGGAGAGAGAGAGAGAGAGAGACTCGACCATTCCCCCAGGATCAGGTGTAGTATCTGTTCCGGTCAGTTTCACATCTGATCCGTGGTCGATCAAGGGAAAAATCGGTTTAAAAACGGAAAATCGGTTCATGCACTGATCAGTTTAATGGAGAAAAAAACAAGGGAAGCATGAGCGATTTCGGAAATAAAGAAACTGGAAACACAAGCGATTTCGGGAAAAAAAAAAAAAAAAGCGAAAGGGCGCGTGCACGCACACAGCCGCAAGAGGTAAGACGCACACAGATAGATAGATAGATAGATAGAGAGAGAGAGAGAGAGAGAGAGAGAGAGAGAGAGAGAGAGAGAGAGATCAACTTCTTGGCAAACATTCCATTTTGAGAGAGAGAGAGAGAGAGAGATCAACTTCTTGGCAAACATTCCATTTTTATTGCGGGCGTAGCCGCAACAGGTCCCCTGGTGGGCTATAACATGTCTTTACACTGAACAGCAAGTCCCGAGACTCCAGTGTGTTTTAGAGCCTATTCTTATGATTTTCAATTTGGCATGTCACCTGCCTTGGAAGAACAACACCCCCTGGCACAAAAAAAAAAATGTTGTTACGATCCAGGCCAATGTCGAAGTACAGGAGAAGGCACAATGCCGTCCAATTGCAAAAAGAAATGAATGAACTCGGGAGGAGAGAGAGGTAAGGAAGAAGAAGAAGATGTACACCAGCAAAGACCAATGATAATCCCCTTCTCATACATAACACCTTTTGTCCTCCTCTCTTATTCAAACAATAAATAATAATAATGATGATCGATGGCAGAACCAGAATCGATGTCCGAATCCTTCCTGTAGTGCTAGCACGAGTTGACGTCCACCATAGCCATGGCTACCGTTCCCTACTTCCTCTTCATAGGCCGACACTATAGTGGACTACTAGGGCTCTGCCCCGACGTGCGAAAGACAACGCAAATCAGCTATGGCTGCTTCCACTCAGGCCGACATGCGTGACTCTGCCTTGAAGCTTCTTGGTATATCTCTACCCCAACAAGGGCTTTCCAGATGCAGCGCCCACCAAGGTGATGGAGAGGTCGTCCACTATAGCCAGGTAAGTACCCCAGGCGCTATCCCCTTCTAGGCCCTTCTTCCTCCTCCTACCCCAGCTCCTCCACCATAGCCAAAGGTGGAGAGCTGGGCGCCCATCTTCCCCACACCGTGCTGCACACTAGCGCTGCTCCTCCAGTGCACCAGCAGCATGATGTCCAAACTTGCACACAGCAAATGAGGCTGAGCTCTTCACTCAGCCGGAAGATATAGCGGCGAACTTGCCTCTTGGGCGGTGACTTCCAGTCTGTGTGGCATCTAAGCAACCGGTACTCCCTTTCGGAGGGAAACATCATTGCAGGCTCTGATATCGTCCGCACAGGCCCTAGAATCAGACTACTTGGACTGGTGCCTGCCTAGACCTAGCCTAGAACTACTGGGCCTCTAAAAATGCCAACTTTTGTCTTCTTCTGCTCGCCCTCGAATACCCGACACATGTACTGCTACTTGGTGTGGTGCCAGCCTATTTTCCCGCGCTGCTCTTTAAGTGTCGCGGGCCTATTCCCGCCACTTGAGTGTTTTTCCTGGTGCAACCCTCAAAGTCACGGCCACAGGTAAGTACCGGCCCGACAGGGCCTCCCAAGCAAGCAAGTACCCTTGCGGGTCACACACACACTCAACCCATCAAGCACTCAGACAGGCACACAGACCAGCAAGCACGCCCACACACAGACTTAGGAAAATCAGCAGAAAGCGGGAATCTCAGCAAGGCCTTCATTACAGTGGCAAAACTCAGAAATCAGCTGTGTTCTCAGTCCGTTACATTGTGACTCTTTTGTGAGATGTGTGGGGAACTTCTCATTTTCTATAGATGCATACATTGTATACTAGTTCATGTATCATGTTGCTGTCCACTATGTAAACTGGTGTGTTCTCCATCGTTGTTTTCGCTCTGTTGGTGCAGACGGGATCAAGCGGTACCTAAAATCAAGCGTGCAATTCTGGGTTCGTTGATGGAGTTTGCTACGTATGAGCTCAAGGTTCAGGTGAGATGGAAAGGCAATATAAAATATTGTGCTGCTGATTACTTCGTTGCAATGACGTAGCTGTGTGATGAAAATCGTTAACTCATGTCCACAATGTCAATGTTAGGGAATCAATATTCATGATTGGCAAAGAAGGGTGAGGATATATACACGTCTGCAGGTGTGTTGCATGGTGCGCACACATACATTTCCAGTGCTGCATGCCGTCAACCAAAAAGGGGTGCAAGAGTTTCGTTGGAGACAAAGCGGGATGGATCACTTGGAACCCCCTGAAAAGCATTTCAGTGGAGCATCAGCCCAAGAATTCCCGCCAGTGGAAATTGTTTTGGAAAGGGAGGTTTGGGTGGATAAGCGATAGACACTTCCTAAAAGAAGCCCTTGTGTACAGACTACATGTGCCAAGCCACCGGGACTCTGGCTTGCAGCCAACTGGCCTACCCTGTGATCAAGTTGCCGCGGTGGGCGCTTGTAATAACATAATGTGGGTGATGAATGACGGTGATTGGAAGTTCAATTTGTGATAGTGAGTTTTATGCGAGTGCAGATCACCTCCCTTGCCATTCACCAAGGGCTCTCATCCGCACTCCCTTTGATGTTCCATAGGCCTCTTACATCAGAGATCGGCACATAATGTGCTGCTACAGTGCCTCCCTGTTTCTCCACCAGCTCCTGGAGAAGTTATGTAGACGTCCAAATATCGCAATTGGAGCCGAATGCAATTTTTGTTACCTTCTCCCAAGGAGATGGAGAAGCAGGAGGAGGAGGAGATCCAAGAGAAAAGCAGAGGAAAACTGCAATTGTTGGTAGTGTTTTATATGCAGGGCAATTTGCGAGCGATCTCCAATATGTGAATGGTATGTCGTGTGGACAGTTCTGGGTGGCAGTGGAATGTCAGCATGGTGAAGGAGGGAGTGGATATGTGAAGTTGCTCAACATGGGCCTCAGCACCACCATAGCTCCACAGCTTAGCAGAGTTTGCTTGGCTTGCACATCTAGCAGACTGATGCGGTGTCGCATCATTTTGGTCGTACTATTCCCGTGCTCTTGTAATCCCTGTTTTCCTCGGTTCTTTTTGTCTGGCACATGGAACATGATGTACTGGCATGTGGATGCACCACAGTGGTCAAAATTGTACTTCAGTAGAGCAGAAGGGGAAGGGGGAAGAGTATGAAACCGGCTGATGGCCGGGTTGCAATTCTGTGGCGGGAAAGGGAAGGAGGAGGGAGGGGAAGAGTAGATCATTATATCACAGGGCCCTCCTTTTGCTATCACAACTACGACCAATCATTTTCCTAATGGTCGATATGGAAATGAGTGTGAAACCAAAGTTGTAATCCCTGTTTTCCTCTGTTGTTTAGGTAAATCTGTTTTTACCGGTCTATTGGTTTGGGTTGTCATCTTTGCCTCTGTCAGGCCTATTGGGATCTGTACGCAGCGATTCTTATGCTATTGATGGGATGTACTTTTTTTTATCTATGCACTGGGATTGCCCCTTCGCCTGTTCTTGATGGACTCTTCATGGACCTGTACGTCGATCTATCGTTTGCCGAATGGACTCTGTGTACGGTGTGAACGTCATGGTTACTGTCATTTTAGGCATTGTGATATCCATCATCACCGCATGCGTATGAACCCACAGTGATTGTTTGTTCTTGTAGAGTATGTACTGCACTGCATTGATGACCTTACTTCTTGGGGGTAGGCTATCATTAGCAATCAGCAGTCGGATGGAAGCATGCCAGGGTGAAATCAAATGAGGCAAACCTTCACGTTAGTGTTGTGGCACGTGTTCAGCAGGGACCCTTGATTAAATGATTTACCGCTGCAGGCAGTCAGTATATAGGCCATCTCTTGATCCAAGGATGAATGCAAGCGGACCTTGAAGCCTTCAAATTAAGTCAACTCATTTGGTGACCATCGTAGGCGCTCAATATGCTCAACTCTGATGCAAAGAAGAATGCAACAGGAGCTTGAAGCCTTCGCATCGGAAGACTCAGAACTCTTTCCTGTGGCATGTGGATGTTGACATCTATCTGGTTGCTTTTTCATTGATTTTTTATTTTTTGGTTGATTCTCACTGCAGTTTGATCGTCACCAACCGTCCCATAACATGTCTGCATCATCGGACCCGCTCGGCATGTTGCAGACCCAGGTGGTGGCTGCAGTGGCCGCTGGGGTGGCCTCGGAGGGGCTGTCTCCTAGAGCGGCGAAGGCTGAGGCTGAGGCGGCAGCGCAGTTACCCCTCTACCTTGCTGAGAACTCTCTCGTGCTCTTGATGCTTGTTGAGGACTTTCTGAGGGCACAATGCCATGCTTATGGGGAGAAGCTGAAATCTGCCTCATCCAAGAACATGAGTGGCACGAAGTCACCAGTTGCAAGGCTTCTTGAAGGAGTAGCAGCAGGGGGGTTTGAGAGAACATCCAGCTTGGGCTTTGAGCGGTTGGGAAGCATGGACCGCCCAGCTGGGGATATGGCAGATGAACATGATGGTGTGTCGTTGGAGGTGAGTCTCAAAACAAACACCGAACTTTGTTGATACCTTAATTAATGATGTCCTTGTTCAGGTCTCACTGTTTTAGACCGCTTTTGTCCGTTGGACACTTGAGACCAGTCACATTGTTGGTGCTATGTTTATACTTGAAAACTAGGCACCTGGCCATGAATAACACCATGCTTTCCTAGCATGAACATACACCAGTGAGGTCTGTCTGAGTTATGAAAACTAAAGAGGCTTGTGATGAGGTAATGTAAATGTAACCAGGTCTCATTGGTGCTATGTTTATACGTGGAAACTAGGGACCTGGCCATGAATAACACCATGCTTTCCTAGCATGAACGTACACCAGTGAGGCCAGTCTGAGTTATGAAAAGTAACGAGGCTTGTGATGAGGTAATGTAAATGCAATTTCTGTTGTTCGTGTTGGACCTCATGTGATGAAATGCAACGTTTTGATGTGGTTTGCCGATTTACTGGTCACTGGTGCGCCTATGATAATTTGCAGCTTAAATTTCAGTCTTTGATCACAGCACTTGTCATCTTGATGGCTTGTAAATTGTAGTGGCGAATTGTGAAAAGTTTCCGTGGTTGATTGAAGTTTCACTGTTGTTACGATCCTGGGCAATTTCGAAGTATACATTCATCAGAAAGTACAAATGCTCTCCAATTGCAAAAAGAAATGAATGGACGTGAGAGGAGAGAGAGGGAAAGAAGAAGAAGAAGAAAGAAAGAAAAAGAAAGAAAGACGAAGTCGATGTACTCCAGCATAGGAGAATGACAATGCTCTTCTCCTTCGTCAACCACTCTCCTCCTCCTTATGTCCTCCACTCTTATTCAAACAAGAAATAGCAATCATAATGTTGAATGGCTGAACCAGAATCAATGTCCGAATCCCTCTTTTACTGCAGACACAACATGAGGTCCACCATAGCCATCACCACCCTTCCTCTTCCTCTTCATGTAGGCCGTAGCTATGGCGGAGTACTGAGGGCTCTACCCTCCTGTCCAAAGGACAACCCAAAGCAGCTATGTCGCTGCTCTCTTGTCCAAGGTCAACACCAGGCAGCTATGCCGCTGCTCATTCAGCCACCATGCCTGACTCTGTCCCGAGCTTCCTTGATGCGGCACCACCCCAACTGGGGCCTTCCAGTGCAGCGCCTAACAAGGTGATGAAGATGGTGTCCACCATAGCCAGGTAGGTACCTCGCCACTCTGCTCCTTGGTCCCTCCTCCTCTTACCGGTAGAGCTCCACCATTGCCAAGGTGGAAGCTCCCGGGCTTCTTCCTCCCAGCAGCGCTGTAGTAGCCAGCGCTCAGTGTGTGGCCAAACTTGCACACTGAAGAATGAGGCTGGGCTCTTCGCTCAGCCTCAAGATATAGCGGCCTACCTGCCTCCTGGGCGGTGACTTCCAAGCTACTTGGCCTCCCAAGCAACCGGTATCTCCCTTTCGGGGGGAAACATCATTGCAGACTCTGATATTGCCCGTACAGGCCCTAGACTCAGACTGGATGGACTGGTACCCGCCTAGGCCTAGCCTACCGCTACTGGGCCTCTAAAAATGCCAACTTTGTCTTCTTCTGCTCGGCCTAGAGTACCCGGCACATCTACTTCTACTGGCTGCGGTACCGGCCTACCTGCTACTTGAGTGTTTTTTCCGCTGCTCTAAGTGCTGCGGGCCTCTAGCTCTGCCACTTGAGTGTTTTCCCTGCTGCAACCCTCAATGTCACGGCCACAGGTAAGTACCGACCGTCCAGGCCTCCCAAACAAGCACCCTTGCGGATCACACACACCCTCATGCCGACAAGCACTCAAACAGGCACACAGGTCACCAAGCACGCACACACACAGACTTAGAAAACTCAGCAGAATGCGGGAATCTCAGCAAGGCATCCATTCCGTCGACAGAACTCAGAAATCAGCAGTGTTCTCAATCTGTGTTATGGCGGGTCATTACACTGTCTAAGTTCGAGATGTATAAGCTTTGAAATGTCATCTCTAGATTCTCTTGTCTTGTTTATTTAGTACTTATTTGGAACTCCAGTTGGCTCTATTGACAAGGTAGCACTGTTGCAGTGATTGAAATCCTATAGGTGGTGGTTTTTGTGACAGGCAAGCGGCACTGTCATAAGTTTCACGAACTTGAGGCTGGGTGACAGGGTTCCCGACCGCTGACCGTCTTGCAGCCGACCAGCAGGGCAACGGGTCGGTGGTCTGCCGACCAGTTGGAAAACAGCAATCCGCTGATTTTTTTCCAAATCTGTACAGCCCAAATCCGCTGAGAAACTTTTAAGGATTTTTTTTGTTTTTTTGGGGGGGGTGTTATGGGGGTATTGGGGGGGGTGTTGGTGGGGTTATTGGGGTTCTGGGCCTAAAAAAAAGACGGAAAAAAAAAGAGGTGCCGACGACCCCCGACCGGAAGGTGCCGACCAGCAGATGGGTTGGCTGCTCGACCAGTCAATGTGCGCTGACCGTCGGGGTATGCAACACTGCTGGGCGGTGTTATAGTGGGATTGCTTACTCGATCCCCATTTTGATATCCTCTGCTGGCAGTGGTCCTTTTCATTTTACAGTGCGCTCTAGTTGCATTAAAGGTGGGAGATTACTGTAAATAGTCCTTTCACACATTTGTTGAAATGACGAGAAACTTCGAGAACGTGAATTGGTATGGTTATGACGGATATAAGTTGAGGCTCAACCTCTTGAAAATCCAGTAGAACTTGTGGCAGTTCTGCGTATTTTGTGGAGAGAACAGTTGCAACACGCAGGAGAATTAACACGAGGTGGTGAACAGGTCGGCCCAGAGTCCAGAGAATTCATCACCAAGGCAGTGATTGTGGTGTACTGTGAACCAATGTCTGGAAGCTTCAAACTCGCACCCATCTTTGAATGATGGATTTTCCTGAAGAACAGGGAGTACCCTACAAACCTTGCAGTACCTCTGTCAAAAGGGATTCCAAGGGACATGTACAAAATTTCATGGTACTGATGGACTTTTGTGCGAAAGCATGCATGTTCCAGTTCTGCATCTGGCTTATAGCTCACCAAACCCTCAGCATGCCTGTACCAGGCCGCAACATGCGGGATTAACCGTTACGGATACCAATAGTTTGCATACAATGGGTCGTGTTCGGGCTAAGGTGCTAATCTGCAACATGCAGGTTTAACTGGTGCATCCAAACTGTGTACCTGTTTGTGGTTTTTGCATGATGTTTGGAAAATCACCCCTGTGGGTGGCTGGTCAAACCACTTCCTAACAGTCTGGTGTGAGCATATGTGGACTGATAATAAGGAAAAGCTAGGTGGTACATACGGTGCTGATTGAGTTCAATCTGGTTGTTGGAGCTGTGGTTTTAACTGCTGTGTCAGATGTCACGATTCATGCAATGCAGGGATCAGGCAATTGGTGAGACAAGGAATGGTCTTGGCCTGTATGTAGTATTGTCCTGTTTTGGTGAATAGGGAGCGCTAAAGTTGCTGCCCTTTCATTGGCAGGATCTAGCAGCCATGGCAGATTCTGATGGGAGAATCTCCACCGCTGCTATGGAGCGAATAGCAGCGTCAGCAGCAGCAGAACCCTATGAGTCTGTTCGTTGTGCGTTTGCCTCATATGGAAGCCTTGGGAGTGAGCTTGGTCATGGCTGGAGAACTCGCAGTCGGCTTTGGTATGGTGTTGGTTTGCCGAGCAGAGGAGGGGTTTGTCCTGGTGGGGGGTGCGGTTGGGAAGCCTGGATGAACACAACAGAGAGGGATGAGGATGGGGAATGGGTGGACTTGACTCTAGTGAGAAAGGCTGTCGATATGCTTAGCTCTCTGCTTCTCGAGGATACAAGCTATTCTGGTGGCCCTGGGTCAGGTGCAATGAGTGCAATTGGAATAGTGCCTGGGGTAAGTGGACATTTCAATTCTGCCGGTGGAGGTCTTGCTCCAGGTGTTCAAGGTCTTCAGCAAATTGTTGACAGTGATCAGCCGTTTTTTGCCATGCTGAGAATTGTTCTTGTGTCCATGCGAGAGGAAGATAAAGGAGGGGAACCAGCAGGAAATATTGTCATGGACCGCAGTGGGGAGTTGGGCCCAAATGGGAGACCCATATGGAGCCCTGAACCAGGGGGAAGACAAAGTCAAGGGGCTTGCCTTTTGAGATGGTGAGTGCATGTACGCTCGCGTAACCAGTGTACCGATTTTGTTGCTATGAACAGTACATCTTTTGTGCAGTGTTTGGTAGCGATGGCAGTTGTTTGCACTAGGTTGACAATCTTGTAAATGACAATCGCATTCTTTGCTGAGTTGACTTTGCCTTTTGATTGCCTATGCTTGGTGTTCATGCTATGCCCCTACGTGAACTGATGCTCCTTTTCTGTGTTGTTCAGTGCAGAGCACCATGGAGGGCCTGACATGGTTCTTCTTGTGCGTTTGTTTTCTGTTGATACCTTCCATCAAGGTTTTTTATTTTCACCAGGAAGTCGAAAAGAACAGGAATAACGTACGCTGAATCTGATGTTACTCTTTCATCCTGATAAGTCACATAACAATACGTATCTAGTATGCAGGAGTCAGATACATGGAGCAATCAGGTTGCGGATATGCAGCAATAATGTAAACTGTACAGGTCAGCTTTTATTCTGCTACTCAGCTCGAATCCGATCGATGTGAGTGAATACCATTACGTGAACTTCTCATGGTAAGCCAAGTACAAGTAGGCGGTAGACCCTATGCAGCCTCTTTACTGCAAAGTTCCAGATTTGCTCAGATCGATTAGGGTCGGTGCATTTGGAGGCATCGTTTTTCAGATCATTGCCTAGGTCATATTTTATGTGTTGGAATTCTACTATTCTAGAGAAGTAATTTAGCTTTCCTGCAGGCATACACTCTGGAGCGGCAGAATAAGACAGCATGTGTACAAACTACAGCAAGCTGAGCATGTTTCGATGCAAGCACATTCTGACGGGTGTTATCCTGTCCAAATGGCATGTTGATGCAGTGTTCTAGCACCATTGATGAACACGCCAATCTCTGGTGAAAGGCGACAGAGAGTACTTGTTGCAGCATGTATAATGTACACTGAGGTATGTCCTCCATGGCCCACAGCTTTTATTTTGTAAACTGTTTTTGCTTGCTGCTGCCTTCGTCCTAGCAATCTCCTAGGTGATGGTCCAGACTGATTTACGTGGTCGTTGTGATGAACATGGACATGTAAGTTTGCGCCTTGTATCGGAAATGGAAGTTTGTGCCTTGTATCGGAAATGAACCAAAGGTAACCTCATGGGGAAAACTGGAATCTGGAGTTGTGGTTGTAGGTTGCTTGATTATGGGTTTCCTCGTATCAAGAGCTGGGTGCCGCTCTGAGATTTAGTAGCTGTTCTATGGACAGGTGGCTCAGACTCATGAATTTTCCTAAGATTTTCTTAAAAATTCTCTGAATGAAAGATTCTCGGAATTCCGAATTGTTCTCAGCTGGAGCCGGGTAATGGCCCAGTGTTTCTGAAAAAGATGTTACTCTTAGCCAAAGCCGGGTAATGGCCTGGTATCTCAATTTTTTATATCTGTTTGAAGAAAGCATAGATAGAGGACTGGTGGAAGAGGGATTCAAACCCCTGACATGGGAATTATGATTCCGCGGACTGGTGGAAGAGGGATTCAAACCCCTGACATGGGAATTATGAGTCCGCTGTTCTAACCTACTAAACTATTCTGCCTTGAACTACTTGACATTTCCCCTGGTGGGGTTTGGTTTTCAACACAACCCCACCCAAAACAGGCACAATGTGAGTTGCCCTCATTGTATTTATGCGGGATACGTTGCCAGTACTACTGGTTTTTGTTTGTGTATCCGGAACTCGACCAAAAAAACACACTGTGCGTGAAGTCAATGAAAGTTGGAAGGTGAAAGATCACTGTGGAACTTGGTGACTGCAGTCCAGACGGTCCGGACTCCGTCCGGACTCCAGAATTGCGGCCTGGAAGGTCTGGATCTGCCAAATTTCAAGGGGGAAAAAAAAAAAAGGTCTGCGACCCGTCCCCACTGAGGAGCCGAGCCCCAAAAAATTGTTTTGGGGGTTTTCTGGTCTCTGTTTGTTATCGAGTATCGGAACTGCTTGAACTAAACCCTAAAACCTCATTCCTTGTGTGCAAAACTACTGTTGCTTGCAGGTATGGCACGCGGTGAGTGTGGAGCATGAACCTATTAGGAGGCAATATTTGGAACTGCTGCTACCACCATTTGCTCATTTGCTGAGGAGGTGGCGTCCTCTTCTTGCTGGCATCCATGGATTGACGGATTACGAGGGTCAAAGCCCGATTGCATTTGAGGACAAAGCGCTGTCAACAGATGTGACACCTCTCGAGGTGAGCCGTCCCTCTTATCTTGCACCACATCAGTCGGAAAGAACGAAAAAAAGAGCAGAAAGGCAAAATTCATTTAAAATTTAAAAATGAAAATGCTGAAAAGACAATGTGACAATCGTAACCCAGGATAACATTCTGGGCGGCTCGGCTGCCTCTGGCTGCCTGTAATCGCAAGCCAGGCAAGTCCAGCCAGGTCTGGGGTAGCCGCAGCATGAAGTCAAAAGAAAATCGTAAATTTCAGAATTCTGAGATAAAATAGTACCGTGTAGGGGTCCTCAGAAGTCCTTTTGAAGAGAAGATAGAAAGAAACTGAAAAATCGAACTAAAATCCCTTTACAGCTTAAATTTTAAAATAAAAGTCTGATGGTGGTCCTGTTTCCTTCAGCCTAGATGGGAGTTCGCGTGGTGTGGATCATATCTTGTCACTACATATATAACTATCGCTAAGTTCCTGCCTGTGACAAGCGGACGATCGGGGCCCTCCGATGTTTTGCTGCGGTCCTGATTGTCTGCTGATCGTTTTTTCTTAGAAGTTGAAGCGGTGCCAGGGCCAGTAAAGGTCCCGAATGCCAGTGCCGGCACCATGCTTGGTACTGGGCCTGTGCACCAGAGCCAGTACCACACAAGGTACTGGGCCCCCACACCAGCACCGGTACTGTCGGGACGTTGCCGGGCCAGTGCCAAGCGCGCACACGCAACGAACTTTTTCCGATATTGGAGGCAATGCGGGAAAAACCACCCCCAC